CCATGGTGGTACGAGGGCTGGCTCATCTCTGCCCTGTCGCAAAATTCATCCATCTCCTCCTGTGACCAGCAATGTGAGGTGATGCTGGGAACACCTTCAGGCATGGTTGGAAGGGGAAATCAAGGAAAGAGGGACCAATCCACCACCCCATCCCACAGGAAACCCTCCTTACCTGCACCAGGCTCTGGTCCACCCTGCCCATTTTCTCCTCTGCATCCAATTCCACACGGCTCAGCTCCTCCACCTGAGGCAGAGAGGGACCGTGGGGGAAGCCAGGTCAAACAACAGTTCTCCAGCAACTCTTATTATAGGGTATTTCTTACTTGCAGCCCCTGGAGCTGCACACAGGGCTGGTTTTCACATGCATAGAGGAAGAAGCACAGCCCTACACCTTCCCCCCAAGGGACCCTCCAATCCCTTCCTTCACCTTCTGCCACATCGTGCTGCCGTCCATCACCAGCAGCTCATCCTCCATGGCAGCCTCCAGCCCCGGGGGCTGCTCCTTGCCTTTCTCCATGCAGTACTGCTTGTACAGGTTCTCAATCACCCTGGCAGAGGACAGGACAGAGCTCACACACCCACATGGGGCCTGAGGCTCTGGGTCAGCACCTGGGCAGAGTCCCAGGGAGCTCCCAAATACCCCCACGGAGCATCCCCCAGCTCAGTAAGCTACTACATCCTTCTCACCTGTATGGGCAGGAAGGCTCATCAGTCTCCGAGGTCGTTGCTGGCAAATTGTCCTGCCGCCCTGGCACCAGGTACCCCCAGCCATGCTTGTCAGAGTAATGGAGGGGGAAGCCATCCCAGGCCAGGCGCATCAGCTTCGGGGTCACCCTCATCTGCAGGCTGATGAGGCTGGGTCCGGGCACCCACCCCGCCTCCTCCAGGCGTGGGCACAGCTTGCGGTACCAGCTGGGGAGCAGCAGGGATGGGTCAGAGAGCACAGGGCAAGCCCTGGGGACACCCAGGGTCCCCAACTCACCCCGGGTGGCCTGGCAGGTGCTGGAGTCTCTTGGGTTGCAGCACAACTGTCTCCTTCAGGCGTTCCAGACTGAGCTGGCTCTCAGGGACTTTCAGATCTTCATCCTCGCTGGGGGGACCAGGGTCTGGTGGGACAAGGAGGACTGGCTGCCAAAGAACCCTCCATGACACTCCTCTGGAAACAGGAACCTCAAACCAGCCCCCCACCACACGTCCCAACACAGGAACACAGGCCAGCAATGCTTCACTCTGAAGCACTAACAAACCTTGTCCCTTTTTCTTGGCACCCCTGGGAAGGCATCCCTGGAACATCCCTTGTCCCCAAGGATCACCTGTGCTCACCCTCCTGCCACTCCTGCGCTGACCCTTCTGCACCCATTGCTGCTGGGGAGGCTTGGCTGTTCCCATCCTCATCTTTCTTCTTCTTCTTTTTTGGGTTCTTCTTTTGTTTAAACTCCTGCGTGTCCCACTCAAGATCCCAGAGCCAGGGGTCATCCTTGTACCTGATGACATACTGCTGTCACACCACAGCTTTGCTCCTGTCCCTCACATCCACCCACAGTCCCCCCATGGACCACTTGGCATCTGGGCTCCTTCCTGGGAGCAGCAGGACCTGCAGCCCCAGCCCGTTGGTACCTGTGCTCATGCAGCAGCTGGCAGGCATCATTGGCCAGGTTCATCAGAGACTTCTTCATCTCCTTCTGCAGCTCCTCATAGACACCCTGAGCATCGTCCAGGTACCTCTTCCAGTTCCCATTGACCGGCAGGTAGGACACCCCCATCTCCAGCATCCCTGCAAACGTCACAGGGTGGGGGCACCTAGAGCCCAAAGCAGAGGGGCATTAGACATCTGATGGAGGGGACTGTCCCTGGAAGCACCAGACTATGATGGACCATGAACGTGTCTTCACCCAGAGTTTCCCCGTCTCGCACAAGAGCCTCGATGCTCTTCCCCTAAACCCACAAGGATCCCTGTATCTTCTGCCTGCCCTGTGCATCAATTGCTGCCCTAAAAACAACCCTGTGCAACAACCCCAAAGCTGTACTGCTCTGAGCTGCCTCAGGAGACCTGCTCAGCTCCTCCAGCCTTGCTGTTCTGCTGTTTATTCCTGCTCACCTACACAGGGGAGGTCTGACAACCCTTCTGAAAAGAGCTTCAGGACACCCTAAGGACAAGAGGAATCACATCCCAATCCCAGAGGGATTGTGACCCTCCCTGCTGCCCATTAAGCCCACAGCCCCTTGGCCAACATCAGCCAGAGCTTGGCAACTCTCACCTCTCCATGAAGAGTGGCAGCTGCTCCTGAAACACCTCGTGGGTGGCCTGGACATCACGGGCACAGTACGACATCAGGTCCTGGGGACAGTGGCAGGTTGGAGCAGGCAAAGAAGCCACTCCCCTGCCAGCACAGGACAAGGCACCGGGGCTGCGGGAGCACTGGGGATGTCAGAGCAACGACCCCAGCAGCTGCTACCACCCTGCTCCCACCTCCAGCTCCCACTGTCAGGATGTGATGGGACGGCCTCCCTCACCTGGAAGTTACTCCTGATGTCAGCCATGGTCCCCTTCACAAAGATCTCCCGTGCCTCCTTCTCCAGCGGCTCCCCCCCGACGTAAAGCGCGTGCACGTCCACCAGGTTGTTGATGCTGCTGACGTGCACCCAGTCCCACGAAGTCATCTGTGGACAACAGGGGCTCAGACAGTGTGGGACAAGGACCGGCCATGGGTGAAATCAGGAGTGGTAAAGGATGTTGCTACTCCAGTTTAAATCAAGGCCACCTCGTCTGGAAGGTGCTGGGAGAGCTTCACTCAGCAGAGCTGCTCCAGCAGATCCCATTCTGCCAGTACAGGAGCAAATGGTCCCATTACAGGAGCACACAGCCCCCTCTCACCCAGGCCACTGCCAGTGGCTCAGCTCCCTCACTCACCGCTGGCCCCTCCGTTTTGTTGCGTGTTTTCTTCATGTGCTCCTTGACCTGCTGCATCCCTTTCCTCTTGCCATGCTTGGCAGCCATCCAGAGGCTGCGCTGGAAGCCTGTCAGCCCTGAGATGGCCATGTGCATGCTCATAGTGTCCAGGAAACGCATCTGAGAGCCCTGGGACACAACAGGGGAGAGAAAAGAAAGGGTTTGGGAAATGCTAGAGGAGCTGCAACTCCTGTGCTCAAGCTGCTTTTGTCAAGACAAGGCTTTGTCTCCCATATCCATCTTTTGAGAGCCAAGAGCATCCCCAGCACAGCCTGTCAGCTGCTCAAAGCCTCCTGTCACACCTCCAGCTGCCAACCTGCAGCCTCCAGCAGCCTTAATGGGGTGCAAGAGTATCTCTCTAGATACAGCCCCAGCCTACTCTGCAGGACAAAGTGAAGACAACCCTGGGGTACCTGTGCAAAACAGGATTTGCAAAGTAACTCGCAAGAGCCAGTGCAAACAGTTATCTGGGTAAGAAAATGCAGCTGCTGGGCATAAACCAATGGCTTGGCAGTTCACCTGGATAAGGTACTGCTCCTTGATGAACGCCCGGTCGAAGGCCACGTTGTGCCCCACCACCACTCTCTCCCTCCAGTCCTCCTTGCCGGCACAGCTGGCACCTGCCGGGCTCTCCATGGGAATGAGGTCGGCCAGGGTGAGGTGGTTGGACCAGGAATATCGCTGCTCCAGCAGCCGCCTGCTGCACCACGAGTACCTGCAGGGGACACACAGCTGTAACAAATAAAGCAGGAGCTCCTGGGACGACAAGCACCTGCTGTGCTGTGGGGTGCTGAGCACAATCCCACCTGTGGGAGGGAGGTGACCCACCCTGGGGAGTGTTACACTTGGTAACCAGGATACACATCCCACATCCCAGAACCATGCTCTGGGGCTTCGTTGTGTTTTCCCTGCAAGCCAGCAGTGGACTGCAAAAAAAAAGGCTCCACTTGGAAGCATCCCATCGTCCCAAAGCTGTGTCCCCCACTGCTGCCGTGACTCCCCTATCACTGCTGGCACCACATCTCACCAGGCATTCGGCGAGACCACCACAGCCAGCGTCGGGCAGTGGCCATCAGCCACGCACACCTCCACGTCCAGCACCATCGCCCGCTCCTCGGGGAAGTCCACAGGCTCCGCTCGCCCGTCGGGGCCGTAGCGGGTCCAGCCCAGCTGCCATGCCCACTGGGCGGGCAGCGGGGGCAGCTCACACCTCAGCAGCGTGTTGGCCGCCTCCAGGTAGGGCAAGCTCTGCTTCTGCGCCAGGAGGCGAAAGTGCTCGTCGATGTTGTCCCCGTACATGCGGGGCAGCCGCAGGTCCACGTCGGGCAGCGTGGAGGTCTCCTTGCCCCACAGGTCGTGGCGCTGCAGGTGCTCCACGCTCCGCTGCACGTCCGCCGCCGAGTAGCTCACCTGGGCACCGCGGAAGATTTGCTCGTGGAGGGTCCTGGAGAGCATCTGGATGTTGAGGGGGTTCATGCGCCGCTGGCCCGTGTCCTGGCTCGGCTCCTGTGGCAGCGGGCGGCTGGCCGAGGAGCTGGAGGGGCATCGCTGGGGCTGGGGGCTGCAGCCCCTCACCGACCGCCTCCAGGGCAGGCGCCTCATGGCCCCCCGCTCCGGGGTGTGCCCCGGCTGGAGCTGCGGGGAGAGAAACGGCGAGGGGTGAGCTGGGCACTGACCAGCACTGCAGGCCCCCCAGAACTGCCCCGTGCAGCCATGCACCCCTCTGTGCAGCCGCACCCCTCTATACAGCCATCCCCCTGTACAGCCACACCCCTATCCACCCGTGCCCCCTGTACAGCCACACTCCCTTTACAGCCGTGTCCCCCACACAGATGTTTCCCTCCCAACTCACGCCCGGCCCCCGCCTGGTCCCTCCCGCGCCGCCCGGGCCTGGCTCGGCGGGCAGATCCAAACAGGGGCGCTCCCGGGAGTTTCCGGCCGCGCTGACGTCCCGTCCCGTCCCGCCCCCTCCCGCTGCCGGCCCGGCCCGCCCGGGATTCGCTGAGTAGGGCCCGCGGGAAGGCGGGAGTGGAGGCGGCCGCGTGGCCTAATGGATAAGGCGTCTGACTTCGGATCAGAAGATTGCAGGTTCGAGTCCTGCCGCGGTCGTGGTGCAGAGCCCTGTTGGCGTGGGGTGTTTTTTGCTCCGCCAGCCCGTGTCGTGGCCCCGCGGCTGCCGCGCCGCCGGTACCGGGATCACCGCACCCAGCGGTCGCGTTTTGCTCCTGTCTCCAACCGGAGCTCGGAAGAAGGCGGGGGTCGGCTGCCGGCACCACGAGCCGGGCATGGCGGCCACGGGATCAGCCCTCGGCAGGGATGGGAGTGGAGCACTCTGTCATCTGCGTCCCGCAGCCACACGAGCTCCATCCACCTCCTCGGCCCCGCGCCCGGCGTGACGAGATCAGCACCCACCGCCCTGGTCTCTGTCGTCCTGAAAGCCCCGAGCCTCACGGGTGGGTTGGGAACAGCGTGGGGACCAGAGTCTGTGGGGCCAGAGGTGAGAGCAGGGCATGGGGTGTACATGGGGATATCTCGGCCACTGGGGATGGAGCAGTGGCTGGAGAGGAAGGATGAGCACTGGGTGTGTGGTAATGGGCTGTAGGGTGCAGGGAATGGATGTGTATGGCACAGGGAAGGGGATGTAGTGCACAGGGAATGAGACAGAGGGTGAAGGGAATGGGATGTAGCGTGCAAAGAATAGGGTGTAGAGTATGAGGAATAGGATGCAGGGTGCAGGGTATGGGTTGCACAGTTCAGGGAAAAGGGCACAGGTGCAGGGAATGGGATTAGGGTGCAGGAAATGGGATGCAGGCTTTGGGGATAAGGCCATAAAGGCAGGGAATGAGATGTAGGGCAGGGGGAATGGGACACAGGATTCATGGAAAAGGCCACAGGTGCAGGTTATGGGATACAGGCTGCAAGGAACGGGATGCAGATGCAAGGAATGGGATGTAGGGTTCACAGAAAAGGCCACAAGTGCTGCACTTGTGGAATGGGATGCAGAGTGCGGGACAGGCATTTCAGAGCGCAAGGAAAGGGGTGCAGATTGCAAGGGAAGGGAAATAGGAAGTGCCGAGGTCAGGGCAGGTGAGTGCAGACTCCCTGAGCCCCGCAGGAGCTGTCCTGGCCGGGAAGGTGGCTCCTGGCAGAGTGCAGCCCGGCCTTGGCATTGCCTGGCGCTGTGCCAGGCCGGGCCATACCGAGCCGTGCTGGGCTATACCGAGCCGTACCGAGCCGGGTCGAGCCGGGCCGGGCCGCCAGGTGGCGCTGCGGCCCCGCCGGTGCCGCCCGGGCCGGGCCGGGCCGGTCCCCGTGGGGCCGTCGGGGCGCGGACACCTCTCCGGTCCTGTCCCGCTCCGCGCTCCCCACGGGGCACCGGGCAGGGGCACCGGGCACTGTGACCTCCCCTTCGCCCCTCCTGGCCCCTGCGGAACTCCAAACCTGGAGTGCGGCTCATCCCCAATGCTCCAGCTTCACACCACACTGTCCTTGTGGGTGCAGGATTGGGGAGGGTGGAGGGTGAGGAACCGCAGCACCCCGGTCTCCGCAAAGGCAGAGCCAGCATGGGCGCGGTGTGGGATGTAAGAAACGCACACGCACACAGTGAGATCCTGTGTTCTGCGGCTTTGAATGCGTTTCACGGCCCCCCCGGTGCACCCCAAAGTACCTGCTGACCCCCAGCCTAAGGTTCGATGGGGGGGGTTGTGCTTCACCCTATTTCACCCGGCAGCGGAAGGTACTCGCTGCCTGAGCCTGGCAGAAGCCGGCCCCGCATAGGATGCCTGTCCTCGACCACCTCCATACTGGGAACTTAAGGTTTCCCGGTCTTTCGGCGGGAGCTCGGGGGCGCGCGGGGTGCAGAGCCGGCGGGAGGGATGCTCCAAGGCTAGTGGTGCTCTGGTCAGAAGGGAAAAGCTGCCCTGGGACGATGCAAGGAAGGATTTGGGAACCCCGGGCTACGGGGTGGCTCTGGGGAAGGACCTAGGTGCACTTGTTCTCCCTTCGTTTGCATTATGTTAATGCCGATTTCTCTTATTTAGGGTCTTTTATCTACTTATTTTATCGTGGTCGAGAAAAATTAAATTAAAAAAAAATCCAAGCCCGCTGCATCACAAAAATTCCCCCTCTCTTCAAAGCGGAAATAAAAAAAAAAAATTAATTCTTCTCGAAATACTTCTCTCGGCATTGCCTTGGGGAGGGTTGATGACAACGAACTCCACTGCCTTGTCCACAGGCAGGACCGGGCCGGTGCTACCTATGTTTCACCCGGGTGCGGGCAGGGAGGGAGGTTCGGAAAGGCACAGCACCACTGTATTAAAAAAATCACCGCCATAAACAACCCGAAATAACCTCAAAAAGCCGCCGTTTCAGCAGACATGGCTGTAATGCATAAGTCGAAATGTGGTGTGTATAGTCTTTTTTTTTTTTTTTTCCCGTTTCCTAGGCTTTTTGTTTTTCTGTCTGTCTGTCGGGGAAGCATCCCCGTTTTGGTGCGCCCCGTCGGGGTCTGGACGGGAGGTGGGACATGAGACTTCACCCCCACTTCTTGGAGACCCCATTCCCCGCCGGAGAACTCGATGCTGTCGGTCGGCTAATGGGGCGGTGGGACTTTGTTTAACCCCGTTGCCCCCGGGGCCAGGGGTCAAGGGCTTCCTCTTCCCCCGGGACATGGCAGAGAGGCCGTCGGTCACAACACGAGGACCGCGGCGGGGAGGGGGATGTGACGGCCGCAATGTTCCCCCCGCCCCGCCGCGGCCCTCACGTGCGATCGGCGTGGGACCCCGCAAACCTTCATGTCTCCCCGGCATCGAGAGGCTGAGGAAGGCTCCAGGTGGGTGTTTTGGGGGAGCAAGGGGCGGTCAAACATCACCACGGGGCAGAGGGGAATGCGAAGAAGCGGCCCCTGCCCTCCAGCAACCCGGGCTCTGCCTTCCCCTCCCAGCTGGAGCAGGATGTTTTTGTCGGAGTACCGATTTTATCGGGGTTTCACCCCCTCCGTCCACAGGCAGAGATATCTTAGCTGCCCCCCGGAGCCAAGAAACGGGAGAGAAACGGGCAATTTTTATAGGTGACGTACGGGCTTACGTGAGAATCCGTGCCCAGCACTGCTCTTTTTTCTCCTGAAATAACCCTTCCGTGCAGCTCACACCCCCCTATTCCAGCTGGCACCCCCCTTTCAAGGCTGGGGGGGTAAGTCGGGAGAGGGGGAAGCGAAAGAGAAGAGAAAAGAAAAGCACTCCCCAACATCCCGCTCTTTTCCTGCTCGGGCAGCGAGCACCGGAGCTCCCAAAGTGAGCGGAGAAGAGGGCGACGGGAGACGGGCGGGAGCCGTCTCCGAGGTGGAGGGGTCTGGGGTGGGATGAGAATAGGGGAGGACCGTCCTTTTCGGGATCAAGGGAGAACCAGCGAAGGAAGGAGGCTGGCGGCACCGCGGGCATCCGAGGTAAGTCCCTCTCCTGCCCGCAGCGGTGGTACCTGAGCCCAGACGCGGCTGCGGGGGATGCTTTGAGGGTTCAAAGGAGCCCGATCCCGGAGGCATGCCCATCCCCGGGGCTGCTCCGTCCCAGCCAACGGGCCGGGCTCCGCGGGACCGGGGCTGCTTTGGCGGCTGCGGCTTCTGTGGAGATTGGTGCCGGTTATCCCGGCCCGGGGGCTGCAGGCAGCCCCTACCCCACGCCCTGCCCGCTCCCTCGGGGCTGGGCCGGGGTCCCCCCGGGCCGAGCAGCCCACGGAGCCCGCTCCCAGCCCCCGGGGCTCCTCCCTTGCGTGTCTCAATTCACTCAGGCTTGACTTGGCAATAAGCTCTCTCAATAGGGTGACAATAGAGCCCCGGTGGGACCCGAACAAAGAATTTGAAAGTAGTTAAATTGCAGGACACGTCCATCGCCTGGGTGCTTGAATTAAAAAAAAAAAAAAAAAAAAAAAAAAAAAAAAGAGAGAGAGAGAGAAAAGAAAGAAAAAAATCGGAGAAAAGAAAAAGGAGAGAGACTTTTCTTTGGGTTGGTGAGAAAATGCTCAGGGTAAAAGTTGGTTTGGCGTCTTCATTTCAGCGACAATGGAGCAGAGCTAATTCAATAGGAAACGCGGGGATTTTTTAATGAAAAGACCGCCGGGGTTACACCGAAGTTAAGCTCTTGTGAATTAATTATTAGGGCAAATAAACTGGGAGGGGGGGAGAGCTCGGGAGGGAGTGTTGCAATTTCTTAATATTCTCCTTTTCGTGTTTAACCACAATGCCATCAGGTTTTCGACTCTGGGTGAGCTAAAGGATTTCTTACACTCCCCGGGAAGAGGAGAAGACGCGCTTTTTTTCCCCTTTCTTTTTCTTTCCTTTTTTTTTTTTTTTAAATGGTGTTAATTGCTTTTAAAATAAAATACGACGGAATTTGGCAACGAGCTCCAGTTTCTGCTGGCGGTGGCGTTTGGGGTTGTATTTCCTTTCGTGGCAACTCGCAGATGCAAAAAGGAAAATAACGGGGGAATTTAAAAACATGAATGTAAAGGCGAGGCGGCATGTTCGGCTGTTGCAGATCTCTCGGGCTCGATCGGTTTATTTTTTCCTACATAGAAAACCTGTCTGGGGATCCCTGTGTATTCATCGGGGCGGCGAGAGACTCCCCAGAGCCGCTCCGGGGCATCGGTGGAGTGAATCGGAGATAAAAAATAGGAGCCAGGTTAAACGCAGGAAGGAAGAGGAGGAGAGGTCGGAAGCGAAGTAAAGGTGTGCCAGGAGGGATTGGGGTGGGGGTGGGTGTGTGGGGGGGGTTGTGTTTTTTGAGGGAGGGCTTTTTTCGCCTTACAGCAGAGGTGGTGCAGTGTGTGTGTGATTCTGTAAAGACGGTGAGGAAGGTAGAGGCGGAGGGGAGCGGAGCGGGGACGCTCTGGCGGTACCTGCGTGCCCTCGCCCGGGTCCCAGCTCGCTGCGGCCGCTGCGCTGCGGCTGTTGGGGCGAACTGGGCTCCAGGACTCGGCCTGTACTTCGGGGAGAGCATTGGAACGGCACGGCACGGGTCGGCCCGGCAAGGCTCCAGGAGGAACCCCTTTCCAGGGCCAGGGCTGCGGCCCGGAGACAGCCCGTGCCCGGGATCTGCCCGACGGCCTCAGGCGGGCTGTGCCGTGCCGGGCCGTGCCGAGCCGAGCCGTGCCAGGCACTCTCCGGTCCGTTCAGCATTTGGACAGCGGTGCGGGGCCGGGGAGGTGGCTGCGGGGCGCTGGGAGGTGCCCGGGGCGGCGGAGGGCAGGGGCGGTCACAGCTCTTTCTCTATCCGCCGTGACTGGGGGCTGTTCCTCAAGAGAAAGGGGCACCGCCACCATGGGATCGGGTGGCGGGGGTGGGGGGCCAGCTCCGGCTCTTCCCCAGGAGAAGCGCTCCCCGGAACCGGGACCAGAGTGGGGTGCCCGGCGGGGCGGCCAGGTAAGCCCCGTTAGGCCCGAGGGAGTGGGCGGCAGAGGGGCTCACCGGGGGGAGGGGGGGTACATGGCCCCCCTCCCCCGAGCAGCCCCATCCTCGGCGAGTAATTAAGGGGTGAGGCGGAGGGGCTGCGCTTTCTGCTCGGCGGAGCCTGCCAGCCACCAGCCCCCGCCGCCACCGCCGCCTTCCTCCCGTCCTCCTCCTCTCCCCCTCCCTCCCCCCGCCTCCTCCCCTCCCCCTCTCCCTCCTCCTCCTCCTCTCCGCCATGGTTGGAGTGAATAGGCGGCTGCCGGGCTGACGTCAGTGCGGGCAGAGCCTGCCGGCGGCGGCAGCTCGCGGCCAGCGAGCCAGAGCCGGCACCGGCAGCAGCCGGGAAGACACACGGAACGCGGGCAGAGCCGCCTCCGCCGCCCCCGCCGGTCCGCGCCCGGGGCTGGGGGCTGCGGGGGACACCGCTCGGCCGGGGGCAGCCCTGCCCGCCCCTCCGCCCGCCCCGGGGAGGGGAATGGCCCCACAACCCGCTTCGCCCGCGGACCGCCGTCCTGCCCTCCGCACGGCAGCAGAGTGAGTGTCGCGGCCGGGCATCGCCGCCTCGGCGGGGCGACCCCGGGGAGGCGGGAGGGCGCGGGGGGAGACGTTTGCTCCGGGGGGGACACACCGGCTGCCGGAGGGGGAGGAGGGAGGCAGGGAGAAAGGGAAGGGGGAGACGAAGTTGGGCCGGTCCCCGCCGGCAAGTTGGGCGCCTCCAGGTGCCGGCACCACGCGGGACCGGGACCGCCCCGCGCCGCACCGTGACCGCGGCTCACCCTTCGCGGGGGACGAGTGGGAGACACGGGGGACCTTTTACTGCCGGGGACGCGTTTGCTCTGGCAGCCTCTCCCTGTCTGCCCGGGACATTGCAGCTCGAGAGTAGGGCCCGGGGAGGGCTGAGTCCCGACGGGGCGGCAGGGAGCCGGGGCAGAACGCTGCCGGGCTGCTGTCGAGGTGCCCCCAAACCTCCCCGTTCGCCGGCCGGAGAAGCTGCTCCGGACAAAACGCCTTGATGAGGCCGAGCCTCCCCGGGCATTCAGGCTTTAGGCCGTGAGAGAAATCTCGGGTTCCCTGAGAAGTTCTTCCTCCCGATGCAGCGGGTGGTGCTACTGGGCCTGTTTTTCGTGGGGAGGAGGGGGGTACCGGGGCGTCTCGCTCCCCTCCTCGGAATTACCGCCGAGGAGCATCAGCGTGGCTACCGCTGCTCGTGCACGGCTTCTGGTGCTGAAGGATTTATTTCATTTTTCATTTGCTGTTTCCCTTTTCTTTGCTTTTAAAAAAAATACATTTTATTTCATTTCATCCCTGTTTATTATTATTTTATTTTTCTTTCTACTTTTTTTTCTGTTTGTTTCGAATTTTTCTTTTTTTTTTTCTTTTCATTTTTTTCTCACATTAATTTTTCCCTTCTCCTCCCTGCCTTCCCTCGAATGCTTATTTCCTTGGGGTTTTTTGTTTGGGTTTTTTTGGTTTGTTTTGTTGTTGTGGGTTTTTTTTTTTTTTTTTTTTTTGTTTTGGTTTGGTTTTTTTTCCCGTATCACCCTGGAAGTGAAACGCATTTTAGGCCTCAGCCTTAAGGAAACCCGAATCATAGCAGTGCAGGTGGCCTGAGAGCCCGTACTTGGCCGGATCCCCTCGACGTGCCTCCACCCCCGGCCCCCGGCCTCGCAGCACCTCGCCCCGCAGAGTGAGGAGGGTCCGGGACAGTCCCCGCTTGGGTTCCGGCCCCGACGGCCGGAGAGAAAAGAGCAGCCGGGGGTGAGACGCCGCCGCTTTGCCTTTTCGGCGCCGGGGCTTGCTCAGAGGCGGCTTTTAATTGCTAAGCAAAGCGACGCGTTTCCCTCACGCCCGTCGGGAGCTGCCGCTTCTTTGCCAAACCCCGATGGTGGAGGGAAAAGAAAAAAAAAAAAAAAAAAGAACACAACCCCCCCCCCAAAAAAACCAATTAGGAGAGGATGCAGCTCGAGGAGGCGAGGCGCGGGGGGTTACTCCAGGTTGGCTAAAAATAACTTATCCTAATTAAAGAAAAGTGACGTCAGACGTGAAGGACGTAGAAGAGGGGAAGGCAGCGGACTCGTTACTGGGCGATCACGTTAAATAATTCAGGGGTGGCCCGGTGACCGGGCTCTTCCGAGGTGCGGCCGACGGGGCCGCCGGCCTTGCCCGGCGCGGGGTCACCCGAGGAGGGAGCGGGCGCCGGGACCGTCCTGCCCGCGGGTGGGCGCGGAAGGCCCGCGGGGCGCCGGGGCCGGTGCAGCACCATGGCCAGAGCCACGCCAACACCGCCGCCCCTCCCCGTCCCGTCGGGCCGCCCGCGGCCGAGGGTTGTTTCCTCTCGTGAGTGCGAGCAGAGGAAGGACGGTCCCGCGGTCCCTACGGCCCGCGTGGGCGACCCAGGTGAGGCAGGACGGGGCCTGGCTCCGGTCGATGCCCACTGCAGCCACCGGAGCTCCGGAGCACGGGCAGCCCTTGCCGATTCCTCCCCAAGATGCTCGCTAGTGCTTTGCCCTGTGTCAAGGAGCCATTTTGTAGGCATCCTGCTAAAACTGTACCAAAAAAGCGCCCCAACCTCTCCTTCCCCCTCCGCAAAAAAACCCCGTAAACCCAACAAAATAGAAAAAACAAAACAAAACAAAAAAAAAAAACACTCCACAGCAAACAAACAAACAAAAACCCTTACAAAACCTAAAGCCTAAAACCAACCAAAATACTCCAAGAGCCAGGTATTTTCTCCTAGGTGCTGGGGCTCTGCCTGCACGGAGAGGGTCAAGGCGAGAGCTCCGAGCAGATCAAGGCATTGCCGAAAAGGATCAGGGAAAAAATATTATCCGATATATTTCCTCCAAGAAAATCACCTCCTTTGACCGGCAGAGAGAAGGGATCCCGTCTCCAACCCCGAGCAGCCCGGCGAGGTGCGGTGGTTCACCCGCAGCATCCTCGCCTGAGCGAGACGGCGGCCCGGGGACTCGTCGCGGCGGGCGGGAGACCTTGCACGGCGACAGCCGGGCAGAGCTGCGGCTTAGCAGGGCTGGCTCTGCCCACCCGGCCCCCCTAGCCGCTGCCGCAGGGGCGGTGGGTCTGGAGCGGGGCCGCATCGCCGCCAGAACGGCCCCAGGAGCGGGGGAAGCTGCCGGCTGCACCCCAAGCTACTCCCCGCCGCCGGGGCCCCGCGGTGAGTACGGGGGCCTCCTCCGTGGGGGAAACCCCTGGGCCAGGAGAGCCCCCCGTGCCCGCTCGTACCGTCCCTGCGCCCCCGGGCTGCCCTCGGAGGCAGTGGGGCGGACGGGCACCTTCCCCCGCCCCAGCCGCGAGCACACTGACAGCAACCACCCTAACAGCAAAACCGATAAATTAAGAGAAAATCCAAGGCCGGAAAATTAAGGAGATCCTATTCGTGGCAAATTTTTTTTCCCCTGTCTCCGGGGCAGATTAAAATAAACGGCGGCCAAAACCCCTCCCGAGCGGCTCCGGGCCGCGGGGAAGGCACTGAGGGGTTGGGGACGAAGAAAATATTTCTCTCCACCTTCCCCAGCGCCTTCGGGGCGGCCGGAGAACCCCCAGGCCCGTTTCTCGTTAGGGAGGAAGCAGGAGGGAATCTGCAGTTCCCGGGAGCAGGGCAGGGGCGGCCGGGCTCGCCTGGGCGTCGGGATCAACGCCGGCTCGCAAAGGGCTGGCAGCCCTCGTCCTTTAGCTTTTAGCCTGATTGAGATGGTAGATTTTATTTATTTAATTTTTAATTTTTTTTTTAAGGGAATGGCGGGGAGGGGGAGGGTGGAGAGGCAGAAATAAATAACCCGAGCAGAGCTCGCCGGGAGCCGGAGCCGGCGGGACCGGCAGGCAGCGCTCTGCTGCGGCTGCTCCCGCCGCGATCGCTTCGTTTCGCGGATCCCTCGTTTTGTAGCAGGTCACATTTTACCCTTGCCCGGGATTTAAAGAAGGCGATGTTCAGAAGCAGAGATGATTACAATTTTAATTTTAATTTATTTTTTTTTTTAATGAAGAGCAGGTCAGTTAAACACCCCGCATAATTATATTTACCTCCTGGCATTTTAATCTGATTATTGATGCTGTTATTATTTGTACGTGCCGGATTCGCCGCTACACGCATATCGCGTTACGAATCTGTGCGGGAAATAGCAGATCGTGGAGGCGAAATAATTTAAACGGAGGGGAAACGGGGAACAGAGGGGATCAGTGGGGGATAGCGGGTGCGTCCCCAGCCTCCGGGACACGTCTCGGGACGGGCGGGCCACGCGTTTGGCTGCGCGAAAAGGAGCCCTTCGGGCTGCCCCCAGGTGCGGAGACCGGACTGGGAGGGCATTGTTTGGGGAGGAGAAGATATGAGGGAGGTGCGCTGAACGTGGGAGGGCAGGAGGGGAGGAGGGCATGGCTGGGAGAGGGAAAAATGGGAAAAGGGAGAAGTAAAGGGGTCGGGTGTAGGAAAAGAAAACGGACGAAAAGGGAAAAGGTGGGGAGAAAGGAAAGGCCAGGGAAAGAGAGAGACTAAAAGGGAGAGAGGAAGGGGGGAAGAAAAAGGGAGAGAGGGGAAAGGGAGAAGGAGAGAGGAAAAAGAGAGAGAGAGGAAAGAAAGAGAGGGGAGTGCCAAGAACAGGGAGAGGGTAGTTAGTTGCAGGTGCAGGGTCGTGCAGGAGTGGGTGCTGCCCGCCTCTCCTGCTCCGCTGCCGACCCCGCGGAGCTGCCACGGGGGCACGTCGGGGTGGGAGGAGGTGGGGGGTGCAGAGCGACGCTCGGCGCAGCCCCCCGGCACAGGCCGGGCGGGAGGAGGGCGGCCAGTCTCGCCCGGTGCCGTGTCGTACCGAGCTGTGCCGAGCCCGCCCCGTCCCATCCCATCCCATCCCATCCCATCCCGAGCCGCTGGAAAGCCCATCCCGTCCTGGAAAGCGCGGGAAAGGGGGCGCTGATTTAAATGAGGGCCAGGGGATTGGCTGGGCGCGGCGTGACGTCACTTCCCAAAGGGGGCGATTACCATGCGAGGGGAGTAGAAGTTGGGCAGCGGGGCGGGAGCGCGAGTGGCGCTCGCCGGGCCGGGCCGGGCCGGCGGGATGGGCACCGACGGGCTCGGATCGGCCACCGCGACCCTGCCCTGCCTTACCTTGCCTTGCCTTGTTTTGCCTTACCCTGCCCGGCCCGGCTCTGCTCGGCTCTGCTCGGCTCAGCGCAGCCCGACCTGTCTCGGTACGGCGCGGTTCGGCTCCGAGCCCCCGCGGCAGCCCGTACGCCCGTGGCTTTGCCCCGCTTCTCGTCCTCTCCGCTTCGTGTTTATCTTACTCTCTCTTTCTCTCTCTCTCTTTTTTTTTTTTTTTTTTTTTTTAAATGTGTGTGTGGTTCCCGGTGGCAGCTCCCGGCCGCCCTGCCCCGGCCGTGCCCGCACCCTGGAGCGGACGGACGGACGGACGGACAGACAGATGGCCGGCATCCCCGACGGAGGGATGTTTCTGTCTTTGGTTATCTAGCTGTATGAGTGTTGTGGAGCCATCATAAAGCTAGATAACCGAAAGTAGAAATGACTTCCAGACCTGCTCGCCCGGGGGAAGCGGCCGCACCAGGACCGGCGGTGCAGAGACGGCCCGACTCGCCGCCCTGGCGCTCCAGGTAAGGGCTGCGGCTCCGCGACCTCCCCGTCGGGCCGCTCCGGGCAACCCGGGGCTCCATGGCAGCAGGCGGGAGGGACGGAGACAGGGGGGTGAGCACTGCACCAATTCTTCCATTGCCAAAGAAACCCGGGGTTTAACTGTTGGTTAAACGCACCTCGAAATTCACTCCTAGGCTGCGGGGTGTCGCGGCTCTAGGAGTATGGAGAGAGAGCGAGAGCCCTCCCCCAAAAAATCCTCCCCCCATCCCAGCCTACAGGTCAGACCTCGAAAACCCGCAGCTTTTGGGTATTTACCCTTCTCTCTCTCTCCCTCTCTTTTTTTTTTCGGCTTTGGATTTGATCCTGGCCTCCCTTTGGAAGGTCAAGTTGGTGATAATGTGACCACTTTTCTTGCGCGGTGGCTGTTGCTTTTGTCTGTAGCTGCGGGGGGATGCCCGGGGAAGGGGTCCCGCTGCTGAGTGCACCCCTCCGGCGTGCAGCCTCCCGGCCCTGGGGCTTCTTTGGGAGCCGAGCGCTTGGCAAGGGACAAAGCCTGCCTCACCTCCGCTGAGAGCCCCAGAAGTTGAAACATAATGTGTATAACAATGTCTGGCAAATAATAATAAAAAAAAAAGGGGGGGGGGAGGGAAAAAGAAAAGAAAAGAAAAGCAATTGGCACATCTGCATTCCGTTCCCATGGCGACAGAAAGCACCGCGCTCTCTGCCGAGCCTTCCCGGCACGTTTTCCCAGCTGGCGTGGGGCGAGCGCCCCTGGCCGGGGCCGGGGTCTCCCGGGGCCCCCGGCACCCTGGGGCAGGCCGGGGGGCATCGCCGCCAGCCCCTGTCCCGGCGCTGGCGGTTCGCATCCCGCAGGGATGATCCCCGCCCTGCCGCCAGCCCACGCGGGCCGTGACAGCTCCGGGAAGGCTGCGGAGAAAAATCTTCCCGTGACTGGGGTTACGAGTGGGCTGTTTGCTGGCCCTCTGCCCTCCAGGACATGCTGCAGGAGACTGGGGAGGGCTGGGGAAGGTGCTGCCGCGTTCCCACTGCTCGGCGAGGTGGAGTGCGGGTACCCTGCCACATCCTTTTCTCCGCAGCGGGCACCCCTTGCCGAGGGAAAGGGTGGCACAGCAGGGCCGAGCCACCCGTACCCACCGGCGTGCAGGGATGGCGAGAGGTGGGAGCCCCCCCGCACCTCGGAGGCAGGTTTTCCACCTTCTCTTGCACGGGGTAATGGCGTCAGATGCCACGTAGGCCCGCAAAGCTAAATATGCCTGTGCACCCTTCCAGGGCCAGCAAAGCACCGCCATAACCACAGTAAGGAAAAAGGATCTCAGCCTGAATTTGGCTATACCAGGAGAAAGAAAAGTTCTGAGGAGCTGTTATTATATATTCTAATGAGAAGTCATTGGAGAAATTAAAAAGGGCAGAGAAAGACGAAGATGCCAGCACTAATTCCGCAGGAAGCCTCCCAGGGAAAAGGCTGTGTGAGTGTGAACGCTGAAAAGCATGAAGGCCTGGAATTAGACTATCATTTAGAAAGCGTTACTAATCCGAAGTTACAGCAGTAATTCCATGATTTGCTGGGTCCCACACGCAGCGCCAGAATTAAAGATACGGATTTTCTAGAAATGTAACTCAACTGTGGCACCGAGTCTCGGGAAGATCCGAATGAATCATTCATTCCAAAGGCAGCGAAAGACGTGTCATTAAGAACCATCCTCCTTCTCTCCAGCCCATCTGGAATATGTATACTCGATGCAATCCCAGAAATTGTGGAAGAGATTGGAGGTGGGGAGGAGGGAATGTAGTCCTTTCCCTCCTTTATTATGTTGGTTATTTTTAAGAAATAATTTTCCAATTATTTTCACAATATTGTGAGTGGCGCTCAATTCTTCTCCTATTTATTTTTTTCCCCTTTTCGTATGCCAGCATTGAGTCAGGTGCAAGCGGTTTCAGTGGAGATGCTTTAAAACTAGACTGAACAAAGCAGGAGGGAACTGAGCAAGGTGGTTGATGAATGCATTTATTCCGGAGTAATGATTTGATGGGGGATGGAGGAAAGAAACATTCAAATTCCTAATGAATATAATTCAGGAGGAATCATTCAACCAGCGTGTTAGAGAAAATCTGTTTGGTGGGAGTGTTTCTGCACTGGCAGAACCCAGGAGGTATTTCTGTCCCTGGCTTTTGTAATTGCAAAAGGTGAAAATATAAAAAGAGGATCTGAGGAAAAAAAATATACACACATATAATAAATGTCTTTGTGTGTGTGTATATAAATACATATATATATATATAATTTCATGAAATAAAATGCAAGTGTGGAAATCTGTGTCTACATGAGAACTCTTACAAAGGATTGATGCAAGCTTTTTCACCTTGCTATTTGATCAGATGGTCAGAAACCACCTTTGACTTCTCCTATTTTTTTTTCTCCTCAAAATCGCCTGTTCTGAGCTGATTTTTCAGGTATTTTCTCAGGCTGTGGACTTGGTTCACTTACCCCAGAGCAGTGTTCCCGAAGGGGATTGAGACAGGGACTGAGCGATTTGGCCTTTAGTGTCCGAGAGAGAAATTACAGTTGAATTTTTTCCTGGTGCTTAAATTCTTCACTTTTGCCCCCGTTGTTGACATGAACCCGCGGGCGTTTGGGGGAGGTGTGGAGGTGGCACCCCCTCAGTTAACGAAGGAGGTGGCAGTGAGTGATGGGGGACAGTGGCACGAGAATCCCCAGCTCCTGTGCGTGTGGGTGGAGGGCGAGCAGGCAGATAAAGCCCCTCAGAAAATCCCTACTTGTGACATACCCGCTGCATTTAGAGAGTCCCTGGCAGCCCACCGACAGGTCTCTGCTTCCTGTCTTTTTTTTTTTTTTTTTTTTAAGTGCCATGGTGGAAGAAAGGTCCATAAGGGTCCATCCTTGGACCAGGGATGGATTTTGGCTACACATGGTTCCCTTTGTGGCTCAGCCTTTTGCACTGTTCGTGTAGCTGTTGGCTTTGGATGGATCTTTTCCCCTGCGTAGCCAAAACCCAAAGGGAAGGTGTCTTTTTGGGCTGTGCTGAGAGGAGAGCCCACCAACGTCCTGGCATTCCCGACTCTTTCTCTTCTCAGTGGGACTCTCCTGGTGGAGCAATGGGATGCAACATAGGCCAAACATGGGTGAGGTTCCTGGAGCTGGGCCGTGATGTCTTTGTTCTTCAGGCAGAGGTGGGGATGGGCAGAGGGAGACAGAAGGAGAAGAATCAGTGTGTGCCATTGGGGGATAAATGGAAAATATAATTTGTGGGTTTCACCTTGGGGAAATGATGCTCTGTGGCATTGAGTGCTCCAGCTCATGATTTCTGATCTTTTCCTAAGAGTTGGCCACCATGCAGGAGGTTTGGCTCAAGGCATGAGGTGAAGGGGGTTTGTACCAGATAAGCCAAACTTGCCTGTGCTCAGGGGCAGATGGAGAATGGGATATTCCATCCCTACAGTTTGTAGAAGCTGCCGTGGAAGCCAGGCCATGCAAACCCTCCCGCTTGGTTATGGATGAAATCCCATCAATGGGCATTTTTGCGGAATTGCCTGGCAATGGTGTCTTCGATGCTTGGGGCCGGGCTCAGCCATTTCTTTTGTCTCTCTTGGCTCCCACCCCTCCCCACACCCCTGACGCAGCGGATGGTGCCTCCCTTTACCTGCTGCTCTGCCCTGGCTTTTTCTGTGCTGCCTGAGAAGGGGCAGAGCCCAGGGCCTTGGAGGGCACATCCAACCTGTGGCTGCAGATGGGTGCTGCTTGTGCACCAAGGAGGGATTGTGGCTGCTTGCTGGAAACACACTTTCTCATGTCTGCATGGAGGGAAGGTGGTACTTTGGCATCTGTGCAGGCGCAAGCACTGAGGGCTGGTGCCTGGCACGTGGCAGTGCACATGTGCTGTTTGTGGGGTGGGTACCGCGTGTCACCCCTGTCACCAGTGCTCCCACATCACGGCCCCTCAGTTTCCTTGAGTCTCTGGGTGTCTTTGGGGGCCACCAGCATAAGATGGACGCATGGCTGCCCATGCTGGCTTCCCCATCATGTGGTACAGGGAGTTGCCCTGGCGAGGTCAGGGATTTCTGTGCCTACAAGCCTAGTCACCTCGGGAAGATGTTTGCCAAGAGCCAAGCTGGAAAAACACCATCTCAAGCTTTTCACCATCCCTCTGTCCCTCTGGGTGCACGTGTTTGGAACCAGAGCTTGCACATGAAACTGGGCCATCACACTGCCCACAGCATGCTCCTGGGATCTGCAAAGAGTCAGGACAAGGCTCTGGCTTTCGTGTTTTCTGATATTTATTCAGGGGCTCAGGTTTGGTTAGGAGCGTTTGCCTGGAAAGCTGAGGAGTGGGGGTAAAAAAAAGAAAATGGGGGGAGCAAAAGAACACAATCTCTGGCAGTTAGCTGTCTCTTGGAAACTCAGCTTGCTGTTCCTATAGAGGCTTTCTCTTTTCCTTCACCCTGGTCTGGCCTTAAGTACCACTTTAAGCGGGCTTTGCTCATTCACATCCAGGCTCCTTAGAGCAATTGAGCCTGCGGGGGTTTGAAAAGAAGGGACAGTCCTTCAATGGCAGGACCTTGGGCCAGGCTAATTGGTTTTGGTTCAAGGGGATACTGGATTTGTGAAAAGCCCAAAGACATCTTTCCCACGCCAAATCCCAGCTCTTCAGAGGGGGAAGTGAGGGGTGCTGGGTGGAGAAGGGAGCTGAAAGAAAGGTGGTTTAGTTGAGGAACCTCTGTAAGGACTCGGACGCCCACCAGGCTCAGCAGGGATGGGTGCAGCGGGGGGCAGTGCCCAGGGGAGCACGGCAGCAGGGGGACAATGTCCCTCCTCCTCGGGGCAGGTGGACGGCAGTGGCTGGCTCCCGGTGGCACTCTGGCAGTGGTGGCCTGGTTTCATTAAAACCAGGCTTTTTCAGTGCATGCCAGACTCCTGTGGAGATGGCAGGAATGAAGGAAGGATGGGACCTGGGTCCAGAAACCAAGTTGCTTCTGTGTACTCGCCTGTGCAGCCATGGGGGGAATTTGTTGAGGTCTCTTGTATCTCATTTTGATTTAGGAATTTATTTATTTTTAAACATTGACTCTCTCTGGCACCATTCCAGCAGTTCCACGACCTTTACTCTCCTCGATCCATAAAAATCACTTAATTATTAGGCTGAAAATCAAGGCTTGGAAACAAAGCCAGCTTATGGGACCATCAGTTCTTGATATATTTCCTGAGAGGACATATTTCTGGGCACCTTCAGAGCAGAGCATGCAGTTTGTTGGATATGAGATATCAAGGCATTATTTATTGAGGAAGTCTTCACACTCCCTCATCTGTTATAATTAACTGATGACATTTTTTCTTAGGTTCAAAATATGGTGAAAAAGTATAATTAGCACGAAGCTGAGGCACTGCATTAAAATGTCTCCTATAGTTAATCTAGGGTAGTCGTGCTATTTATTATAGGAGGAGCTGGCTCTGACCTCTGTGTTGCCTAACACTTTTTATTGTAAAGATTCTTGAACTTTTTTTTTCTTTTTGAGCAGCTCTGACACTCCCATTGTTTGCTGCGGGCCCTTGAAATTCGTCCGGGGGAAGCGCTTCGGCTCGAGAAATGCCTATTCTTTGTCCCTTAAATTCCTTTCAGGTTTAGCTGAATTATGAATTGTTCAGAATCGCGATTTCCCTTTGGTTGCCTCTTGGGGTGGGGTGGGGGGAAAATTAAAATTTATTTTTTCCCTGGAAGAATAATAACGGATCAGGAGCAGGGTGAAGCCATGGACTCCCACCACTTTATTGCAGAGCTCTGGACCAGCCAGGGAAGGTGGGAGGATGTTTACAGCCAACTCCATCACCCCTTTCCACCTTTAGCTCCTATCCTTCTAGCGTGGCCCCACCTCCTGGGAGAAAATTCCTTCGGGTCCTGGAGCCAGAAGGAAAAAGTGTAGGGGGTGTGGGTGTGTTGGCCTGGGCACTGCCAGCCCCAGTGGTCCCCTTCCCCGCCGGCCCCGGGAGAGCAGCCTTCTGCCGCTGCCAGATAACATTAGTCCTGTATTTCATAGTGGCAGAAATCTGTGCCGAGGCTTGGGGCTTGAAATCGCTCTGCCCGCACAGGATGAAGCAGGGATGGGTGCGGGGTGGAGGAAGGGGAATTTGTTACACTTGCCTACAATTGTTTTTCTTTTTGCTTATATAAACAATCTATTATTTATTAGCTATAAATAATGCATTTTTCTGTATGTTTAGAATGCACGTGATTTCTGTATATTAAAAATGTACATGGTTGAAGGCACCAAAGCAGGCGCTGGCAAGTCAGGGGGTACCTGGTTTCATTTTGACCATGAGACGTTAATTCAGCCTCTCGCTGCCCGTGCCCTTATGAGGCTGACGACACGGTCACAGCCTATTTTTAGCTCATTCCCTCTTTTCCTGTCCAGAGTGGCTGCACAGCGAGGTGGAATTAAGGTTACATGGGCAGCCATAAATTGGACACTTCCTAACTTCGAAGTGCTTGACCACACAATCTAAGCAAGGGCTCTTCAGGGCAGTATTTCTGCATATGGCATTAACTGTGTTGGCCAGGCACGTCAAATGCAGGGGTAGAGAAGCCTTAGAGCAGAAAAGACCTATCAGGCTATAGAAAGCGCTCGTCTGAATAGATGAGGGAGTCAACAGAACTTACACTTGATCTGAGCTAAATGGCCAAAATGATGTCTCCAAGCTGAGAGGGGGAAGCCTTTGTTCCTTCAGTCCCAGCCTTGATGTTTTCTTTGCCTTTGGTTTTGCCTTGTTCCCTCCTAGGGAGGTTTGGGCTCCTGTGCTGGAGGAACCTTTGGCTTGTGTAGTGAATTCGTGTGGTTGTGAAAGCGAGGGTGTCCCTGGGAATGTGCACCTACATACTCAGTCCCATCACTGCACCAGCAGATCTGTGCTACCAGCTCACAGATACTTGCTGATTGGCGTCCTTGCCCTGCACACTCCCTCTTTCCCATGTCGCTATCAGGAGCTGTTCCACACGTTGGAGGGAAAGGAGAGGCCTTTGTGTTTTACATAGGAGGGATAATCTCATTTTTAACTGCTGGAAGAATTACTCCGAAGGTGGTTATGTGCAATGGACATTTATCTTTGCTTGAAATAGCACTTTTTTGTTGTTGTTGTTTTTTTCTTTGTTTACTGGTGGGTATCTCCATTCTGGCTCTCAATAAGGTACTTGGCTGTCTGTCTTCTAGTGGAGTGGACACCTTAAGCAAATTCATCTGGGAAGTAAGCAGCCTTTTGTTTTCCTTTCCTGGGTGTAATGCAGTCACAGCCCTTTGCACATACTTGTGCTGATACCAGAGCATTCTCCCCTGGCCAGCAATGTATTTGCCCTGGGTTATAATTACTTGACCTGGCAGTTTTGCCTTGTGGATTCCTGGAACCTGATACCTGCCTGGGGCTGTTTCTGGATCAGCGCGGGTATCTGAGTGTCCTACATTTGGGTTTCCATCATTTGGGCTTGGCTTGTATTTCCTGAGCATCTCTTTCATAACTTTCCCCCTCTCTCCTGCCTCTCAGTTCAGTAAAGGGCCTGTCTATCTGGATGCAGGCAATAAACATCTGTTCTCACCCTCACTTCTGTTAATGAGATAGAGACAGGTAAGCATCACACATACCAACTTCCCTGCTCTCAGCAACATCAAGGAAATGGTGACAAGCTATTAATGGAAAGTGATGGTCTGGGTGCTAATTAGTGCTTCCTTTTCAACTTTTACCTACATGTCTGCCGAGATGCCCATCCCAGTCTCTCCTCTCTCCTTGCATCCCTTTGTTTCCAGCACGTTCTGTGTTCACTGTGCGCATCCCATGTCAAAGAGGCTTCTCTCTTTATTTTTTCTCTACCAATCACTTTCTGCATCCCTTCATTCTCTCATTTTTCCCTTTTCCCCTGCACCCTCAGTCTCCTGTAGTTGTTCCAGGCAAAGAATAAGCATGATATTCTAGTAGGATTTGAAAGCTTGGGCATGGGACACGTGAAGTTGGTCAGGAGTTTCTCATCTTCATCAGTAGGTAGTAATATTTGCTTGTGGCACTGGTGCACGGGGTCAAATTACCCTGGGGACGTGAGGTCAGAGATCTGTCCCCTCTTCCCACAGGTAATGCTGTAGTGAGGCTCCCAGCAGCTCACAGGTCTTGATCATGGAGTAATTAGTATTTAAAGCAGATCCTCTGGTAATGCCCAGAGACTAAGTAGGACAGGCCTCTGTGGTGTGAGCCTGCAGGAGATGACAGGTCCTGCCCCAGAGAGCTTGTGGTCTAAACTCTAAATGATTTTGCTGTCCACCAGACCCTGTTAATGGCTGGTTTTTGAGATCCAGCCCAATTTATGCTACTGCAGCAACATGATTCCTGGTCTCAGCTTGGTGTCCACTCTCTCCTTTTTCTCTTTCTTCTGGTCCCTGGGCTCTGCCCCTTCCCCAGGGACCCTAATCATCCCCTCCTCACCTCTTTTGCACGGGCTGTGGGTTTCTTGCTGCCAGGCTTGTGTCCCAAGGAGCTGCCTAATCTGCCCCTGTCATTCCCAGTCACAGGCTCTGCACACACCATAGCTTTATGGGGAATGCTTGCAGGGCAGTGGGAAGAGGCAGCCATGGTTTGCACATCAGCTAATTAATTTTCATGACTGAACGATGCTGCCTGGTCTCTTGTTTATACTCCTCGCCGCTCCCCTTCTCCCCCTCCTCGCTGACACACACACAAGACGACACATCTCGTAGGAACGTCAGCATCCTTCCACAGCCTTGAGACGCGAGCGGTTATTCTGTTGGCTTGTCAAACGCGGGTTTCCCTGCTTCATGGTACACAGGGGCCCCCTGTTTCACATTTGCTGATTCTTATTAGACCCAGCGCGCCAGGGCCTTGTCTCTCCCCGCAAAGCAACGCGCCGCATCCCATCCATAAATCCAACCCTGGAACAAAGCCTCTTCTACCCTGCCCCATATTTCTACCCAGCCTGCCCGCTTTCCCCTCTCTCTCTCTCTCTCCCCCTCTCCCGTGCTGAAGGTTTCCTAGTGCCAGGGAGATATGATAATTCTTGTGAAGAGAGCATGAAATGCCTCTGCTCTTTGTGTCTGTTTAATTCAATGAGAATCCCAGCCCCAGATGTCATGAATGGTGGGCTTTGTGCTGGCCCTTCCTAAGCCCTAACCGCCAGCCCAGCTCTCTGTCTTTCTTGTTTCCCACCACTGGATACTGATTAACAAACTAAATTATTTTTCCTCCCTAATGATGTTTTCCCACTTTGCCCACCAGGCTGGAAGAAGCCACGGGGAGGAAAGAGTTTGTGCAAAGGATGAGATAGCCAGGGAGAAAATTAAAGAGACAGTGTTGCTCTCTGGGCTCTGGCAACGCAGGTCCGCTCGGCTTTATTTCCTTATTAGAGAATGGGGTCGTGTCTGGCTGTATTTTACGTGGCTGGGTGTATTTCAGCCGAGGGATGGGCTTGAAAGCATCTGCACAAGGTAGGCTCTGGAGCATGCCAGGGTCCGTAACTCACTTCCAATTGTGTGTGCGAGTTTGCACGGTCCCAAATTTAAGGTCTCTTTTCCAGCCGTGAGTGACATGCGGTAATTACTTGACATCCGTCCATGCATATGGGAACCTCTTTCTAATTGAGACAAATTCTCTTTTCCTTAATCAGACATGACTGAGAGTTCCTGGAGTGGGATGCCTTGGGAAGGGACGTCTCCACCTGAGCAAGGAGAGGTGAGTCCCTGGAAGTCTTGCTGAAGGATCAAGTCCAACTCGTGCATGGGAGACCAGCTCTTTTACCTGATCCCTCCCTCCTTCCCACAACCAAATTCCCAGCCAGGTTTTGAAACAGGGCCAGTTGTTAGCTGCTGCTAGAGAAGACCAGCAGCAATAACCCAGGGATGGAGCTGAAGGCAGGTGGCCAAGGAAGGATCATGTAGAGCCACCTGCTTTTTGGAGCCCAGCAGTGCCTCCTTGCTGGGCACTGGTGAAGCTGTGGCGAGCAAGCACCCTCCTGGGGCAGGGAAAGAGAATGGGTATCAACCTGGTGAGGAAAAAAGTCAGTAGGGAGAGAGCCTTTCAACAACACCCTGGGGGTCTGAGTTGTGCAGTTGGGAGCAAATGAGAGTGGGTTGGTTTGTTTTTTGATTGAAAAAAAAAAGCAAAAAACCAGAGGAGCCCCCATGCTGGTGGTGTGGGCTCCTCTCAACTGAGACATGGACAAGGTCACATTTGATGGACAGAGCACGACAGAGAGCTGGGTGTGCTCAGGAAAGCTCTGTGGTGGTGCAGGACTCAGCCCTGTATTTATGAGACAATACAATGTATGTATTTATCTCTCGCAGTTGAGACCTCCAGTCAGAGAGGGCCAGAGCCTTGCCTTTCCCTGTGCAGATCTGGGGGGCTTGTTGTGCAGGCTCAGCTTGTAGAGTGGCTGCTCCTCTCAGAGCCACGCTGATGCTGCAGTACCCAGCCACTGTTCCCGTTTTCCTCGGCTTCGACTCAAAGGGGGAATAAACCAAGAAAAAGGAGTTGCTTGCCTGCACCCACCAAACCCCTGCAAGCACACCCACTGCATCCAGCAAAGCACTGCCTTGTGTATGGCCTTTGCTTCCCACAGCAGTCACATCTGACCCTTATTACTTCTGCAAGGTAGAACAAGGCAGGAAAAATGGCTGTGCAGTGAGTTTCTTCATGCGCCAGGATTTATTAAGAACAATAGGGGAAATCAATCCATCTATGTAGAATACATCGCAGGCTGCAATGGGATAAAGCATTTATTCCGCTCTTGAAGGGTAGAGCTATAACTCATGGGAGTTAGTGCTCTGGAGTCCCTTCCCTTCATGTGTGCAAAGAAATGCTTTAGCCCATGGCAACCTACCAGCTATTGAATTTGTGTGGAGAATCTGCCGTCCTTCCCCTCTGCCGGCCCCTTTTTGGAAGGCGAGTCACTCATTAAAACACACCTCTGGAAAAATGAAGGGGCTGTCGGTTCGAAGGCATCTCTGCATCTCAGTTTTACTTGAAACAGAAAGGGTATAGAAATGTCTCAGTGATGTAAAAGCAACCCCCCGCCGATTCTGAACGGACAGATTGTGCTTAAACCAACACAGGATTTGCTGCAACTTTCTGCTGATGCCCAAGGACCAGGCTCCGCAATTACAGTGGAGAGGGATGGGTTGGGGTGTTGTGACAAGGCGAGATGCTGTGCAGGGAGATGTGTATTGTGCAGCTGAACACCTTCAGTGCTGACTAGATAGATGTGTGTGTATATATATACGTACGCCCTGTGCCCAGCTCTCTACTCGTGGTTGAAGGCATGCAGTGCAAAGACTGGAGCAGTAGTTAACAGGGGCAAAAGGTGACTGGGATTTGTTATAATCTTTCTGGGTGTGAGAGAGTGTGAAGGCTGGGGAGGGGGGGCAGGGTGGGTGGCATTAATAGTGAAATGGTATTTTCTCTAAGCCTATTTTCACTGGGTCTAATCTATGTTGTGGGAAGAGGATCTCTTCAATAGGGCAGACCCAGCGAGGCTGGTGAGCTGTTTGGAGGAGTCTGGGCAGCTGAGGAGTGTGGGCAGGGGAACTGTGGCAACTGGGCAGACACGTCAGACAGCCTTCCTCAGCAGACATGACTTGGTAGGTTGCGTGCTGTTGGGCAGATGGGGTTAATTCTTACACCCAAATCAAAAGGCAACTGAGGGGGGAATGTTTTATTAATGAAAGCAGCCCTTTGTGAGTATTCCTCCCGAGGCACGTTCCCTCCACCCGCTGCCTTCCCCCTGGCTGCTGTCTGGCCCCACGTCTTGCTCGGTACCTGCTCAGCTGCCACTCACCCACTGATAGGTTTCATCTAGAAATGTCTCCATATGTGTCTGAGTCCGTAACCTGGATATGTGGGATGGGAGGAGGAGGAGGGATGGGTCCTTGGCCATGCTGGAGACAGGGGTGTGCCACAGTCAGGCAGAGCTTGGGTTGTCACAAGGTGCATGTCAACCCATCGTTTTCTGCAATGATGCTGCAGGAGTCACCTCTTGCTGGTACCAAAGAGCGAGAGAACCAGAGTGTTTCTCTGGTAAAAGGTAAAAGAGAAGATTGAAAGTGGGTACTTCAGTGGGCTGGGGATGAAGGGGGCAGTGAAGCTGTAAATTGGGTTGGGGAGGTTGGAAGTACCTTGCACACCATCCAACCCATTTCCCATCCCACTGTCTTGCTACCTGCCAAGCCATGGGTTCAAGAGAGGAGCAGCAGATTTCTGTGCACCAGAAAACAGCCTCTCCTGGTCTTTCTTAACCTGCTGTCTCCCCATGCCCACGTCCTCGGGGACCCTGGGCAGCTTGTTCTGCCAAAGGACAGGGACGTGGGAGTGGCAAGGGCTGTGCATGGAGATTATTTCTGTCGCTTTGTTAAAAATAAAACAAAAGCTGGTTTATGACAATTGATTCAGGAGAAAGAGGAAGTGGAGCTCAATTCCCAGAACACCTTTTAGCAAGGCTCTGCATGCGGGCGCGTGTGTCGTACGCGTGTCAGAACTGAGCACCCACGGAAGGCTGGGTCGGGAAACCTCACATGGAAGCGGGGAAAAGACCCCAGTGCATGGCTGCTTCCCTGAGGGAACCCCCGCAGGGCTAATGTTTGATCTGAGGCTCAGTTGTACTCCTCTGAAACCTTGGGATGTCAGGAGCTCGAAGGGAGCCTGGGATGGAAGAGGATGCTATTTGCATTTTCCTATGAATGCATCTATTTGTATAAATCTGGTGTCTCTGTGCATGCGCACACTCCCCTACGCATGCATTTGTTTGAAGAGCAACACGCTGTCCCCGTGGTGTTCTCTGCTCAGGGCCAGAACTGGTTAGTCTGAAATTCAGACTCTTCCTGGAGGAGCTGCAACTCCCCTCCCTGCTTCAAATCTAGTGATGGCTACGGACACAGGAGTCCCGAGATGGTTCACCATGCCATAGTACAGTTTCATTGTGGGGGATGAAGGCTCCCCCTTTCAAATTTGCACAGACATCAAAAGAGTCTGGAAGGTTCAAACAGATCACAACGTAATCAAAATGCCAAGCCACCGTCTGCTTCTGCCTTTGGGTTGACAAGCAGGATTAGCACCCAAGGGAAGCAGGGTGTAATAGTGTTTCACGGGCACTGTGAACAGCCCAGAAGTGTGCGGAGTACAGAAAGGTTAGCCGAAGGGCAGGTCTAGCTACAGACGTACGGTTGGGGGCTGGATTTTAAAGCAAGGAGCTGTACGTGTACAACCTCCGTGGATATTTACTTTAGCACAAGGCAGGACTCTCCCAGATACCAGTTATGTCACACTGGAAGCAGTTTAAGCTGAACTGGAGAAAGCCAGCTTAAGAGTGGAGATGTGAACCAGCGTGGTGAGGAGCAGCAGCGGTTGACCTATAGTGCTGTCATTATAATGGTGTGGTTTTCCATGTAGACAACCCTGGAGCGGAGCAGCTAGCCTGCCATCCCTTATGTTTCACTGTCTAACTGAGATGTATAACACGGCCCTGCCTGCGTGCAGTTGCAGTCACCCTCTGGTTCTCTACAGAGAACTGGAGCAGATGCCGAATTTTCAACCTGTGTCATGTGCCTATCACACCATGTGAAATAGCCTTGTCATGTCTAAGGACAGGTGAAACACTTCCCAAATACTGCTTTAATGTCAGTAATTGCTGGTCCTTTCCTGAAGACAGCCTGAGATCAGGGATGAGGGTTCCTTGGTTGGCGTTTGGTGTTGCTTATTTGGAGAACTGAGCGATGCTGATGTGTCCACTGCAGAGCTCCTGTGGAGTGGAAATGTAGCTGTAGCTTTGTCTGTGCTCTCTGTGTAACTGTGTCTTATCCTTTTATTACTGACCTTGTTTTAAATTTGTGTTACATTAAGGTTTAGGAAGCTCACTTCTTCTTTAATGGTATCTCTGCAGTTTTGCTTTGGGATTTATTTTGTTTTGGCTAGGAGAAAGGCAGAATTTGCTTATAACTCACTCTCAGAATGGTGGACAGGTGACATCTTGCCTTGTAGCTCTCAGACTGCTGCATCTGTCCAGGCCTTGTCTTCCAGTCCAGTGCCCAGGACTCTCAGGACACACTGAGGCAGGGAGCTGTGCCCTGACAATGGCTGTCCGTGTGGGGATAACGCCATTCCTGTCCAAGGGGAATGCCACGGAAAGGGCACAGCTGCCTCCATGACCATGAGCAGGGCCTGGGCAATATGTGCTGCCTGGTGACGGAGAAGCGTATCAAGACTGTTCCAGGCAGGAGGGCTGAGGAAAAAGCTGAGGGAGCGCTGCGTGCCCGGCGCCTTGGCACATGAGGGCCCAGGCTAAGATGGCCGCTCGCCATCACACTCTGGCCCACCATGGCAACTCCCTCTCTCCTGGGGCCCCCCCTTTCCCGGCTGCCGCTGCTCCCGGGTGCCCACCGCCTCAGGGCTGGCAGAAGGAAGCCCGCCGGGACAGGCCAGCTGCGGGCCTGAGGCAGTGTGGGCCCTGGCGGCCATTTTGCGGGAGGCGAGTGCCGCCTGTAAGATGGCCGCATGGGCATGAGGTGGGGTGCAGCGCTGCCTTGTCCTCGCCACGCTGCCTCCCTCACGCCGTCCCCTCCTTATCTTGCTAATTACCGATGAAGGCAGAACAATAACGGGAGCTGGCATGCCCCAGTTCTTTCTCTGCCACCTCCTTCCTCGGGCGGAAAATCTGCGCGCACACCTCCCCCCCCCCGCCTGCC